CTACTTCCAACCCTTCTCTCCCCTTGGTTCTTGATTCTAGGATCACTTGTAGTGATTAGATGGATTGGGGAAGTCTGTATTTGAGCTCCTTTGGAGCTTGGTGACCTAAATAGACAAAACTTTAAAACTTTGTACTTTCCACTTGTTACCTTCAATCATCTCAAAGTTGAGAGGGAGTCTTTCAGCAAACATTTGTTGAACACCTTTTATGTGCCTGATGGTGTTCAAAGTTAAGACCTTCAGCATTGAACCATAGACAAGATTTCTATCCTCTGGTAGAAGTCTACAGATGTCACGTAGAAGACAGAGAAAGCAAGAGTAAGGAATGCTGAGGCACAGGGCATGCTGTATCCATAAGGGCACCAGGGAAGGCCACTCTAATGAGCACACATTTGAGCATAGCCCTACTCAAGTGATGGAGTGAGCCATGAGCCATGGGAGAATGTTGGGAAGTAGATTTGAAAGAGATAGATGAGTGAGAAGTAGGAGTCCTGCGGTAGAAATGGGACTGAAGCCAGCTTGGTGACGATTGAGTGATGGGGGCTTCAGGCACAGCCAGGGAAGATGAAGTTAGGTAGTTGCAAAGGCTGATGTGATGTGACTTTTGTTATGAAATGAATCATTCTGGCTCTTGTGTTGAGAATATGCTGCTTATGAAGGCAGGAGGCCAGGATAGATTCTGGGATATCAGTCGGAAGGCTGTTGCAGTGGTCTAAGAAAGACAAGATCGTGGCTTGGGCAGAATGTGAGCAGGAGCCATGATGAGCAGCAGTTGGTATTCATAGCGCCTCCAAGGTAGAGCCCAGGGAGGTAAGATTATGGCTGTTAAGTGACACTAAAAGCTGGGCATATAGAAGGTACTCCTAAATGTTACTTCTGTTTTCCTTTTATTTTCTCTTGGAAGTGGGTCAGGATAGCATGGGCAAATGTACATTCACATCTGTCATGCCAACTACTTATGTATTCTCTAACTGTGTACTGTATATATACATCATGTACTATGTTTACAAACAAGTAATTTGGCATTTATTGGGCAGCTTATACTGGCTAGTCATCATATTGGCAGGTTTATTAGTTTATTGTGGGATAATAAACATAATTATGATGACAGATACTTATTTAACATTTGCTGTGTGCCATTGGTATTCTTGACGCTTTACAAAAAACCTGATGAAGTAGGTATTCTTACTGCTCCTTTCCTGATGAGAAAACTGTGGCACAGAGAGGTTAAATACTGGAATTTGACCAAGGGTGCCCAGCTCCCAAATCCTGGCTATCACACTGCACTATCCCGTTTCTACAGGTTAACATGGAGTCAACAGAATGTGATTAAGAAGTAATCACATGTGAGAAGTAAATGCTATAGTCATGCAGTGAAGAGAGTTTTATTTCTTGCTCAGTGGAGACCTTGTGAAGGAAATAGCATTTGAGTTACATTTCAAAGAGTGGGAAAGATTTCAACTGTGGGAAGTTAATGACTTAGTGATGAAAATAGGTAATTATAATGATGGAAGTGAATATGTGCTAAGCACTTGCTGGGGATTAAGCACTGTTTTAGCACTTGGAGTGGATTGTCTCATGTAATCTTCACCAGCACTGAGGTACCTTTGAACATGTTTATTTCATGGGGAAGGAAACAGACACACAGATATGTGCCTATGAAAGTGGAGGAGGGTGGAAATTGAATATGACTGCAGACTCCTGGGCACTGTCTTAGGAAGGACATCCATCTCCTGGGGTGGGGGCAGTGATGGACTTCAGCTCAGGTGTGAGGAATTTAAAACCGAACCAAATTTTTTTGTGCATCTCAGTCATCTTTGGCATGTGTCACTAACGTCAATTCTTGGGTCTATATACAGTCATGTGGTACAGCAGATCCACTCACTGAGACCGGGAGAGCCATGAACCTAGAACATGGCATTTGTGTCTGGTGCCCAAGTGGAGGTCAAAACATGGAGGGCTTGATGTTGTGTTAAGGAGTTTGCCTGGGAGACTGTTGTAGTTAGGGGTGTCCATCTCTTTGCAGCTGATGATGTGTTTGGGGCCCTGAAGCCTCTGACGAAGTGGGTCTGTGAACACCCTTGGATAGTCAGACAGTTAAAAAGCCCAGTGATTGGAGGATGGAGCCTACATGAACGTGCAGAGAGGTGGGGCCTGTGGGAGAGAGCCTCTTCCACGTCACAGGAGGGAATCTAGTTCATTAACCTTATTCAGCATGCCCATGATAGCAGAGTGAGGTGGTATTGGTTCGAACATTTGGTATACCCATGCTTGAGTCAGCCACTCGGGAACTTTATGTGTAAGAGACAGAAGAGGCTGGTATATTAAAACGTAAAGGCTCACACATGCACACACATTAAAAAATAACAAAATGGGCTTCTGAACCACTCCCACCGTTGCTGCTGGTCTGTCTCCCAGCTCTTAAACATGTTTCAAGTGCTTTGCAGATCTCTAGAATCCTAGCATAGGAGATGGAGAAAGGAGTGATTCAGTCTGTTTCAAGAGGTTGATAGGAAGCTTTCTGAGAGGGAGTAATATCTGCCTGTTCAAAATTGTAAACGGTGCAGAGGATTTGGCCAAGTGTGTAGATCTGCCAGCTCTTACAGCGTATGTGAAAGGTGTGGGGCTAGTTAACAGTTTGTGGCTTGGGGGAAGTGATAATTAATAATGATGAGCTAAAGTCAGTGAAGTGGCACAGGGTAAACTTGAGCCTGAAGTTAGTAGTGGAAACGTCTCCCTAGCAGTAGAAATACATCTGAGGTACAGTATCTGGAGCATCGTTGCCACTTACATCAATAGTAACTACTATTGTTTTTTATTTTCAGAGCTGAGACCAGACTTGGGGTGATGTGGCACCCCAAGAAGCTTAGCCTGTTCCGTTCAGGGTGTGGAATGACAGGCCAGATTTGGACTTCCAGTGGTTTAGTGGTACATGGGCTGAGGGGTTTCTTGAGATGACTGCAGTGATTTAGGCAGGAGATGTAATACAGGAGGGCCTGAACTGCGGTGAGGAAGGTGGGGAAATATATTACTTCATGTTTTCTCACAGTTCTAGAGCCCAGTATCGAAAGTTGCTGCCACTTTGTAATAGTTATTTCCATTTTGTAATGGGCAAACAAAACTAAATAATGGGATTAAAAAAATAATTATGTGAACAGGAATAATGTATCAGAGAATTAGGTTCATATATGGTGTTGAGGTTTAACTTCCTGCTTTTTTCCCTGACGTTTTGTTATTTTGAGTATGACAGAGGGATACCTGTTGGTCACAGGCATTTCCTGTCTTTCATCTCTCTTTTTTTTAATTTAATTAAATCTTTTTATTTTAGTTGAAGGATAATTGCTTTATAGAATTGTGTTAGTTTCTGTCAGACATCAGCATGAATCAGCCATAGCGTATATGGTCTTTCCTCTCTTGTTTGTAACATTTATTCCTTTGTTTCTGAGGTGCTGCCTAAATAGTATATGTTTTCCCTTTTATTTTTGGTGTACTCACTTGTCAGTGTTGGCTAAAGTTTTAGAATAGTTGAAATAACATCTTATGGGCAATTGGCATATATCACATGGAGATGCTTGAGTTGTGTCTTCTGAAGAGCTACTTTGAGATGCAATTTTTTCCAGAAACACTGCATCTCTGCTTGCTCCAATGAATATACCTGATTCCACTGTGTCTCATTTTATTACTTCAGTGTATAGTCATTATGCTGACTTCCCAGGTGAATCAGTGGTAAAGAATATCCCTGCCAAGCAGGAGATACGGGTTTGATCCCTGGGTTGGGAAGATCCCCTGGAGAAGGAAAGGCAACCCACTCCAGTAGGGGAGATCCCATGGACAGAGGCGGCTCCAGTATTCTCGCCTGGGAAAACCCCTACAGTCCACGGGGTCACGAAGAATCAAACATGACTTGGTGACTGAACAACAATGGTCGTCACGCGTATTCTGCACTTTTTTTCTTTTTTTCCTGATGCATAATGTATAGAAATCTGCACATACCATACACTTTTACAAACTCATCGCAGCCATATAAACAACAGCTGGAAAAATCAACTTTTTAAAGAATTGAACGATGTTTGTGAGAAAAGTGAACTTATGTGAATCTGCTGTGTATAAAGGAAAATGTGACCTTTAAACTTTTTCCTTTTCCTTTCATATTAACTTACTTCCTGTTATCTAATGTAAAGTTGTTCATCTAGTCTTGTCTTACATAATATTGTGCATATATAATGCTGCTGCATTTTTGAAGCGAAAATCATTGACCTGAGAAATACGTTTTAACTATGCTTTTGGAGTGAGTCTTTGAAGAAAGTGTAGTAAAGGATGGAGTTGCTCATATCTATCAGGTACTGTTAAGAAAAATTTTTTAAAATTTGGAAATCAAAAGAATGTATAGCATGTTCCTGGGATGCCTTGTTGAGGCTATTGTTTAACAGGCACACCCCAGGGATATTCTAATTCTTGTGTTCTACCTGCTATTTACTATTTGATTAGAACCCTGAACTGGGAAGTTACCTGTTGGCTTATAGAGTTTTGTCCAGTGGAAAGATATTCCCAAAGGTTATGGTTTTATTGCCCTGTAGATTACTGTTTTTTTTTTTTAATATATATAACCTACCCATCTTATTCTAGAACTAAAAACACAAAAACATTTTCTGATGGACTATATAAACCTGTTCAACAAATGATCTTGGAATTAGCCCTACCACCTTACTGGTTCCCTCATTAATTAGTGAATAAAATTTTTGGACACATGTTTAATGTACATTTAATAATTTTTTTTTTTTTTACCATTTTGAAAATCATCATTTGATACTACTATAGCATTTCTGTCCCATCCCTTCACACTCTACCTAGGAAGTGAGTTTCTAGGGCATGCAAAGTTTCCAAACTTAGCCAGTACAAGTAGTGATCTTTATTTCTGTTGTGCTTCAGAGAACATTTGTAGTGTAAAACTAGTTTTAATGCCAAAAATGTCCTAATAAATGTCTTTTCTTTTCTCCTAGGCTTAAGCACATGAAGCATTCACTGTGGAGAGAACAGCATTTTTGAGATAAGTCAGAGGAAACCCACTACAGAAGTGCACCCTCCTGTGAGTGCATTGTACTGCTTCTTCAAACTGCCTAGTGATGAAGCCACCATTATGTCCTCAGTCAGTGAAGTGAATGTTGATATCAAAGATTTCCTAATGAGCATTAATTTGGAGCAGTACCTCTTCAACTTCCGTGAATTTGGCTTTAATAATGTGAGGGACTGTGCAGACATAAATGACAGCGTGCTCCTCAAAATTGGAATATCACCTACAGGACACCGGAGGAGGATACTTAAACAGTTACAGATAATCCTGTCAAAAATGCAAGATATCCCAATATATGCAAATATTCACAAAACAAAGAAAAATGATGAGACTTCAGAGGATCACCAGGCTCCATCTTCTGCTCAGAATACCTGCTTAGAATTTTCAGATTCACACAGTGTTCAGATACCTAGCCCAATACAGTTGGAGACTGTTACAAAAAATGTTGGAGAACATGAGGTTTGTGTGGAAAATAGCCAGTCTCTTAAATCAGATGATAAGCTGACTCTTCCTACACACAACTTTCCCATTCCAGAAGACGAACCACACTCGAATTCAGGTTCTTTTCAAGATTCTTTACTTGGTAGTGAAATTACCAAAGTAGAATCTTTGATAACAGAGAAGACTGTGGGCTGTATAACTGAAGAACAAACAGAAAGAGTTGATCTGATTTCAGAAAATGTAGGCAAGCTTCCTAATGCAGACCTTGAATTCCTTTCCTCCCATGACTCTTCAGTATCGGAAGCAAATTCTGGAAATGGAACTAACGTTTCATTAGAAAGCTCACCACCATCACCATTCTTTCAGTTTCAAGGAGAAATGGTTGTAAATGATTTGTACGTGCCATCATCACCTGTCCTAACACCTATGAGAAGTCGTAGCAAGTTGGTTTCAAGACCATCTCGATCTTTTCTGCTAAGACATCGGCCGGTACCAGAGATTCCAGGATCAACAAAGGGAATTTCAGGGAGGTAGGAATTTTTATGATAGGCTGTGTGTATTCAGTTTGGGGGAATGTAGCTAGTTCTAACAATTTTCTTTTCCGTGTTCCTTTTTAAATTTGACATTTTAGTTTACCTGTTCAACCAACCTTTTCTTTCTTCTAAAACTTTTCATCATGTCATTTCTCTTGTATACCACTACCCAGAGTCTGTTTCCAACTTGTAACTGCCTGGGACTCTCTAACTTTCTCCCATTTAATTGGCGGAATTCCCTTCCACTAATTCTACCTGGATATTCCATCCCATATCTAGTATGTGGAACCTTCCACCGTATCTAGTATGACATTCTTCCATGAGTGCACTTATATTTGAATTGCTGACTCTGTCTTCCCTAGGAGACACTAGGTTATGTGCTTTTTGGGGGAGGACCATGTTTCTCTGATTGAGTCTCTACTGCCTAACACAATGACTGGCACCAGTGAATCATTCAACATGCATCTAGTGAGCACCTACTTGATACTGGTGACAGTACTAGGAACGGAGGAAGTAGAGAGGGATAAAGGGGCTTGAAGTGTAGCGCAGAAGACTTGTAAACAGTAGTAGCATTACAGTGTGAGACCAAGTGAGCTGGAGACTGGAACTCTAAAGAGGGGTCCTAACGACTTGTTGGGTCTTTGGTACCCTGGGGTAACTGTGGAGTCAGAGAGGAGCTGACTTATTGCCGAGACTGCTTTCAACCGTTTCTCAAAATTACACCTAAGATGTGGTTTCCTCCAGGGCTGTGGTGAGATTTTTTTTTTCCCCCGATTCACTAAAATCTAACACTTGTCTCTGCTAGGAATCATGAGGTTAAGTTCAACCCTTACTGCTGTGGCACCAAACGCAGTGACAGGTTCCTGTGCAGGGTGTAGGCTGTGTATTTCTGCAAGATTCTCTTTCCCCTGCTTGTATCCCCCTGTAGCCACTCTGTCCCCAGTGCTGGATCTTAGGTGCATTGACAAGAGAAAATACGGAAATTTAGTATACACAAGAGAGAACATGGCAGTTTACCAGACCATGTTAAGTGTCTTCCAGGAGAGTGTAAACTCCTTGAGGGCAGAGGCCCTAATTACTTTGTCTTTATCTTGGCATCCTTGCTGCCAGTGGCAGTATTGAGTACTTACTGGGAAATCAGTTGGCACTGTCATTTGTTGAACACCTGGAATCTGTTTTGGTTTATAATTTTCCATAAAATTATAAACTAATTCTCACACTGGCCCTTGAAATAGGTATTATTCACTCATTTTCTTATGAGGTAACCAAGCCTTAGGTTAACTTTTCTAGGATTACATTGGCCGTGAACTGGGATTTCATTCCAGTTCATTTGATTCTATAGCACACTTTTTTAACTACTCATTTAGTAAATGTTCTTAAAAATGTTGATGGCATATATAAGAAATGGAGTATTTCTTAGGAATGTAGAAAGTCACCAGTTTTTGTATACCATTGTAGCTTTAACATATTTTGCTACTTTTCAGCACTTAAATGTGAGGGGTCTGCTGTGTCTTTGCAGGAATGGAATCCTTTTGGGAGCCATAAGGATAACTTCAGATAAGAAACATTGGGCTCAGGTTTTACTTAAGTTGTGTTATTTTTATACATTTTTGAGAATCTTTTGATGTTCATTTAGTTCTAAATGTAAGCTTTGTTTCATGCAAAAGGCTAGTTATTCACATTGTGATTCTTGAGTCTTTGAAAATGAGAATTGAAATAATGGTACAATTAGTCCTAAGTAGCTTAGTAGGAGCTTATTATGACAGTAAATGGTATTTATGCATTTCTGGTGATCAAATTATAAAATGAGAAAAATAAATTATTTTCAGACATCAGTGTTTTTCTTTGTGGTCCTTGCCTGAATTGCAAATAGTAATTGCAAGATTCTACAGTGTTATAAATGAAACTGTAGATTATATAATCCAGGATTCTCTATAGTCAAATAACATCTAAATGATATTTAGTATATTCCTTGATGTACCATAGAATATATTTCTTTGTGGCTAGCCTTTTTATCCTAATTTCTTTACTCACTAAAGATTTTGTATAATTGTTGAACATGATTCTGGCTATGTGTTCCTGATGTGAGGTGCTTGCTTTCTATCTCCCTGGACATGTACCCCCAACCTCTACCCCTTGCCAAGTTATCTGATGCAATTGACGGGTTCTCTTTGTCCTTGCCTTGGGCTCCTCCCTTGAATTCCTGTCTGATCCTCTTGGGAAGGCTGGGTTGGGTGGGGCTGTGCTGGACACTGGACCTCAGGATCTCTTTGCAAGTCCTGTCTCTTGGGGGCTAGGTCAGAGCTAGCCTTGAAGAGCCGGTTCCTTCCTTATCAGCTCACCAGTAGGCTCTCCCATAGAGGAGCCTTGTGTAAGGAGACTGAGAGAGGTCTCTGAGGAGAATGCAAGTCCCACCAGCTGCCCTTCCTGTGAGTCATAGGTGTCTTGGGAGTCTTAGTGATCCTTCCAGGAGGATCCTCCTTCGCACTCAAAGCAGGAAGGATTCAGGTATCTTTTGCTACGAAAGAGGTACCTTTCTTATCCTCCTCCCTAGTTTAATGATTTTCATACATATTTCATGCGACTGTTTTATCCTTGGCACAAGTCACAGAGCCCTGTCTTCTAGGTGTCATGCCTTTGAGTGTTTTGGGGAAGGAACAGTAAACAAGCGAGGAGGGTGGAATGCAGGGCTGCACTGTGGTTGGAGTACCTCTTTTGTAACCTAAGACTGAGGACCTGTGTTAACTGTTTAAGGGCATTTTTCAGAAGTCACCAGCCTTCTGTGAACTTTTTATTAAAAGTAAAAATCGTAGATATTTTTCTCTGGATGTACATAGACATGATGATATAGACATTAAAAATGGATCTGCTGTTTTAGACTTTAATGGTGAAACGTATATGAACAAAAACATACAAATACACAACTGTTTGCTACATTGAATTAGAAAAATACTGAAATTCATCCCATCCTCATGTTCAAGAAAACCTTTATATTTCATGTAAATAGCAAAAAAAAAAAAAATGCTTAGCATTATAAAATTCAGATTTTTTTCCTTTAAAATGGCTTTTTACAAATTCTATGAAAATGAGTTGATTATTTCAGTATTTGCAAGATTTTGACTTGAATGTCTATCAATAACAGTGAATCAAACTTTTTAAAACCTCTTTTTAGATTATTTCAGTATTTGCAAAATTTTGACTTGAATGTCTATCAATATCAGTGAATCAAACTTTTTAAAACCTCTTTTTAATCAGAGGACGATCGCTTTACAATGTGTGGTTTCTGTCAAACAGCAACATGAATCAGCCATAGGTATACGTATGTTCCCTTCCTCTTGAACCTCCCTCCCACGCCACCCCACCCCTCTAGATTGTCCCAGAGCGTCAGGTTGAGCTCCCTGAGCCATACAGCGAATTCCCACTGGCTATCTGTTTTACGTATGGTAATGTATGTTTCAGTACTACTATCTGTTCATCCACATTCTCCTTCCCCCACTGTCCCCAAGTCTGTTCTGTCTGCATCTCGATTGCTGCCCTGCAAATAGATTCATCAGTACTGTTTTTCTAGATAATGAGTCAAAATTAATAGTTGATTGCTTGACTTACTATTAGAGTATAAAGGTATCTATCTGTGTGATACTTTCTACAAGTGAAGAGACGTTACATTTGTACTCTTTATTCATCATTTTGAAAGCCCTGCTTTGTTTGAGAAAATTTTTTTGAACTATAGCTGCTGCTAGTTGATGAAAAAAGTTTTACAGTAATGATGTAGGCTTTTATGTTGTAATCCTTCTGTGATTTTTTATTCTTATCCAAAGGACTTTTTTTGGAATTTTGTAAATTGAGACTCAATTATTTGTTCATTATACATTTCATATTCTTCATCTGAGCGGTAGTTAATTCGCCCTCATGTTCGCTGAATTCAGATTTGTGTGATTTAGTTAGACATTGTGTAACCTCAAAACAGCTTTCCACTGCTGCTAATGACTCCAGTGTTTTTCTTTTGAATTCAATTATATAATGACCTGTAGTTAGTCTGTTGTAGTTAGTCTGTTACGAATTGTAAGAATTGTATTTTTTTAAAACAAACATTCTATGTAATGATATGGTCCATTTGGGGCATGTAATTGATTTTTTTTTTTTTGGCATGGTTGTCATGCCCATGTAGTGGATAAGTGTAGATTATAAAGAGAGATCTTTAACATTAATTAGCATTTATGCCACTGCTTTTCATGGCAATTTTAGTGATTTAAAAATATGAGAACAAGTAACATCTATAGGTAGTTGAAGATTCACTTTGTTATTTTTTGAAACTTGGTTCACATAATGTTATTTTAAAGGTTGTTCACATCCATGCATGTATTTTATGCAGTATCTGCTGTATGGTATTTTACTAAATGAAAGAAAAAAAGAATTTATTCTGCTACTACATTGGTGATACTTATTTTACTCTTTCAAACGAAGAGTGTTCATACTTTTAAGGACTTTAAGAAACAATTGTGCATATTATCAGTTTACCAGGAAGACCAACCATTCTTTTCTCTAATTAATAAAACAGTTGTCTCATTCTAGCTGAGTGTTTGTGTTGTATAAGGCACACCTTATGCTCTTTAAAAGCATCATCTCATTAGCTCTTATGATATTCCTAGGCAGCAGACCTTGTTTTTATTCCCCTTTAGTAAATGAGGAAATTGGACTCAGGCCTATTGAATAACTTGACCAAGATCACCAAAGCATAATAACAAAACAGGATGATAACTACTGCTTTTCTTAATGGGTTTTTAATTTTTGCAAATCACCCATGCTTTATATTTCAAATTTAATAGAAATCTGCAGTTTCTAGGAAAATCGATGGAAGAATAATAGGGCAGAAAGGAAAGAGCATGGGCTTTGCACTCAGGATGGAATTCACCTTGAATGCTGGTTTTTGTCTTCTATTGGCTATGCCACTTGGGCCAGAGAATCTCCTTTCCTTACTGGTAGGATTAGGACACCAAGTTCTACCTCATCAGTCTATTAAGGAGATGAAATATGAGATGTAGATACATAAACCCCTAACAAAATGCTTTGGGCATAATAGATATTAGAATATAAAGTAGCTTGAGATAATTTATTTATAGATAAATGAGAATATAAATGGATACTCACCAGTTTTTTAAAACAGCTTGTTTTCTGTGTTGAGCTAATTTTCATCTTCAGTAGATCAAATGAACTTGGTTGATAGATTTGGTAATTGCTTGCAGGTGGATATTGAATTGCAAAATCAATACAAATCATTGCATACTTTTTTCTTTATAAAAATTAAGCCAACAAAATATGCTTTAAAATACCACTAATGGATGTACTTAAAAGAGTTCAAAATCTTTTTTTAAAATTAATTTGCATTTTTTTCCCCCCAGTAAGTTAAAGTTTTTTATTAAGCATGATGGTTTTGAATAGGTCTTACAGAGCTACGCTGCCTGAGTTTGAATCCCAGGTTAGCTACTTAAGAGCTGTGTGACTTTTGGAAAATAACTGCTTTGTTTGCCAATTTTCTTCTTAAAAAGTGCAGATAATGGTAGCTCTTGCTTCTTTGGGCCTTTGTGACTAAATGCACACACATACACATTGTGAGTGTGTGTGTGTATTTACAAAACCTTGGGACCTGTGTCTGATAAATAGTAAGTGCTCAATAAGAATTAGCAGTGTTTAAAAAAAAAAAAAGAATTAGCAGTGTTTATTATTACCAGAGGTTATCAAAGATGTAGAAAATTTGACTGCTGCTCTACTCAGGGGCTCAAATTATTAATATATATTTGTGTCAGTGACATACAAATCTGAGGAAATGATTATAGCCTTATCACAGTGTCAAGAATGTGGAGACAATGAACAAATAAAGGATGAATTGTTTTGGAACACTTTGATACATGCCCTCTCCTGTCACAGACAGCTTCTATCCTGACTTTAAATAATGGTTATTACACTCATGCTTTAAAAAATGTTGTACCTCTTAAGTATATTCCAAACAATATGCTACAGTTTTGACTGTCTTGTGGACTTAAAAATGCAATCATATAGTAACTCTTCTTACTAAGCTCATTTTGCTTCACTTTGGAACTTCTCTATGTTGATACATACAGTTGCAGACTATTTTCATTGCTACATAATAATTCATTGTATGGCTATCCCATGATATCCATTCTTCTATTATATTTCATATGCTCAATATAGTCTAATATTTTACATATAAACAATTTACTTATATATGTAAGTTTATAACTAACTTACATCATAAAATAGACTGATGCTAAATATATATGTTGATGAAGTTTGACAAGTATGAATACCTATGTGAGCACTACCACAATAAGAATAGAGACCTTTTCTGTCACTCCTCAAAAGACACCTGTGTACATAGGTAGTAAATTATTCTATCACCTGCATTGGGCAACCACTGATTTCACTGTAAATTAGTTTTTCCTGTTCTAGGGTTTCATACAAATGACGTCATACAGCAAGTAACGTTGTGTGTGATATCTTTTATTCAACCTGATGTTTTTGAGATGTATCCACATGGTTGTATGTCAGTTTGTTGTTGTGGCTGTTGAATGTTGTTCTTTTGTGTGATTCTTCCACAACTTCTTTTAACTTTTGCATGTTGACATATACTTGGGTGGTTTTTCTTGGGGCACATCCGACATGCATGTCTATTGAATATATACCTAAGGGTAGAGTTGCTGTCGTAGGATATTACTTATGTTCCATTTTGGAAGGTAATACAAAGTGGTTTTCACCATTGAGTGGTTATAATGCTCACTTACTTTAACACCAGCAGTGTATGTGTATTCCTTTTGTCTCATACCCTTCACAGCATTTTGTTATTTAAAAAATTTTAGCTGTATAGGTGGGTGGGTAGTGATACTTCATTGTGATTTTAGTTTGTATATTTCTGGTGACCAGTGAAATTGAGGATCTTTTAATGCATTTATTGGCAACTGGCCAGTTTCTGTCTTCTTTTATGTGGTGCTTTTTGAAGTCATTTACCCATTTTAGGCAAAGGGAGTGGTTTTGAATTGCTAGCCTTCTTTCACTCAGCATGATGATTCTGAGATTTATTCATATAATGTGTAGTATTAATGTGAACATAACTAGTGAGTGCCCATGTCCTTATGTTACTTCTAGTCTTAGGGAAATGTTCAGTCTTTAATCACTGATTACAATTATTATTATTTTAAAAAGTGCCCTTTATTAGGTTGAGGAAGTTTTCTTTCTTCTTTCCAATTCCTAGTTTGCTGAGAGTTTTAGTGATGGATGGATGTTGAATTTGGCAGTTGGTTTTTCTGAATCTATTGCAATGAGAATGTGATTTTTCTCCTTTATCTTCTTAATTTGGTGAATTATATTCATTTTTCCCTGTTAAATCAATTTTGCTTTCTTGGGATAAGTTTCACCTGGTCATAATATATTATCCTTTCTATGTATTGTTGGATTTGATTTGCTAATAGTTAATGATTTTTTTGCATGTTAAGTTCATGAGGAATATTTGTCTAACATTTATCTGTTGTTTTTTTTTTTTTTGACTGGTTGTGTATCAGTAATACTGGCCTTACAGAATGAATTAGGAAGTCATTCTTCCTTCTCTCTTTTCTGAAAATGTTTATGTAGACTTTGTGCTATTCCTTCCTTAAATGTTTGGTGAAACTTACCAGTGAAATATTTGGGCCTGGAGCTTTTTGTGGGTAGGTGATTAATTGTTAAATTCAGTTTTCCTGATAGATCCAGGGATATTAAGAATTTTTATTCTTGTGTCATATTTGATCATTTGTGTCTCTAAGAATTTTTTCATGTCATCTAAGTTATTGAATTTATTGATAAAGTTTTTCTTAATAATCTGTAATTATCCTTCTTACGTTTGTAGAACTTGTAGTGATGTGTTCTCTTTCCCTCCTGATACTGATAACTTGTCTGCCCTGTATGTCAACTCGTATTTTCCTTCCCTGAGTTTTATCAATTTTACTGGCCTTTTCAAAGAACCAGCTTTTGGTTACAGTGATTTTTAAATTTTTGTCTATAGCCTATTTCATTACTGTGTGTGTGTGTGCACGCATATATATATGCATGCATATATATATATATATATATATATCTTTTCTTGTAGTTATTTGAGCATATATATATTTAAGAGAAGTTGAGGACGCTGTCCTGATCCTTATATTTAACTGGGAAAATAGAACTCTTTCATATAGTAGCAGGTATTATCCTATTTCCACAGTGTTTTCCTCTGTCATAGCTGTTATATTGTATTCTAATTAATTACCTGTAGTATCTCTTTCCCATATTTTCAATTATACTCTTGGAACTAGACAGATTTTTTGATTCAGTATTGTGAAGCTAAGACAAAAATGTCATAAATACTTGAGTAAATATGTTCACTTACTTTTGTGAATTATAAAAAGTGAGAAGCAAATACTTGTAAAATCCATTAAAATCACTTTCTTTAAGGCTATTTAGAAAAGCGCATTTATGGAATCTGGCCATTGTCTTTTATTAAAATCAAACTTATTTTTGAATATTGGTTTTTCTACCAAAGAGAACATATGTGCCTACAATTAATCCTTTACTCAAGATCGTAACATCTGGTTTACATATGTGTTTAATGGCTCTATTTTCCCTTTGCTTTAAGCTATTTCCGTGAGAGAAGAAATGTTGCTACCTCAACTGGAAAATCTGTGACACAGCAAAGTGAGTCTCCTATTTTAAAGTCTGTAAATTAGTTAGTACTCATTTGATAGTCTTGCGTGTGTTAAAATCATGATCAAGAAGGCAGCCCGCCTGTGGGATAGGGAGTAGTGGGAATAACTGTCTACCAGGGTTCATAGCACTCCAGACTCTCTTAAAAGTAAATGAATGAAAAACAGTAATATACACGCAGACTCCTGGAAATTTGCACATGTTAATGTAAGGTTTTTTTCTACAGTCTTCGTTTATCATTGACCACAGTTGAAGACATTTAACTAAGTTGTGTGGTTTCTGAGTCTGAACTACAGGGCGTATATTTATGGAAAGTAATTTTGCCATGGTAACAGGGAAGGGTGACATTCATAGCTCTGGTCAACCGCTCACTGACAGAGGCTTTTCTTTCTTCTTTTTGAAAATTCTGCTTATGCAAGTTCAGGAGCATTCTTCTCAATGCTAAGTTAGCAAGCACTGGCTAGTGAGCCTTTAAAAGAGTTTGCAACAGCAGAAAATGCAAATGTTAAGAATTCTTTATTGTATATCTGTGTAATTCAGGGATAGTGGAAATTCTCTTGAAATAATTTAATTCCAGGTATGCTAGCAGTTATGGTGTTAGAGGGATTATATTAAGTGGATTCTGGCATTTTGAATGCTATTAACAGCTAGCTGTCAGTGAACTTTTAATGATCATTTGTTGAAAATTACAGTAGAGTTAACATTAATTTTCTGCCATTATTTAGGAATTAGCATTGTAAATATACTGTGACAATTTTCATTGTATGGGAAAATGTGTTTAGTTATATTAATGTGGATCTTAGAGGTTAGCAAGGACGAATATGACACATCACACTTGTGATACGTCTTAGTTGTGAAGTGAGGGATGTATACAGAAAGAAAACCACAGTTAGAGTTGATTTGGAGATAAGAATTATGAGCATAATTTGGATTCAGAAAAAAGCTGAAATTGTGATACTGTTATGAAATAATTAAATACATGTTTTTGTAAAAAAAAAAATTCGCATTATTCTCATCTTTCCATCTCATTCTGTCATTCCCCCAAAAGATACAAATGAGGAGAATTCATCTTCCATTTTACCTTATGGAGAGACCTTTCTTTTCCAGAGACTAGAAAATTCCAAGGTTAGTCCCATACATTTTAATTTTTTCCATATTCAGTTCTTTGCTTTTCTGCCTTTACATGCCTCTTCATTTTCCTTTAAGCTGTTTGAAGAATGTGTTATATGGAAGAAAAATTTCTAGTCAGTAAAATTCTGTTCAGTAGAATCATGGTAAATTGATATCTTAAAATATATATCACAAAAACACATTTTAGTTTGTTTTTAGGGATACAGATCAATGAGTTTTCAAAATTTACCACAAACTACTTAAAAAAAAAAATGTTATACATGATTCATTGTTCAACTCTTGTTCATATTATATTTCTAAGAAAATATATATTGGAAAGTTCAAATCCTTTCTTTTGATAACAGCACTCATTTTAATAATTTAGTGTCTGTAAATTGATTCTATAATCTGTAGCATATTATTTTTGTCTTTTCATAATTGAAACCATTCTCCCCTTTTCAAAGTGGCAAATATGTGGTAACTATGTTTGCACTTTAAAGACAGGAAGTTACCTCAATGTGAAGAAGAAAGGGGGGCAATGCCAAAAATGTCACTATGTGAGGTACAGAATTTTTACAGATGTAATGTAGAAGCTCAGCAGTGATAAACAGCTTGAAAATTATCCAGTTATCTCTATCATTATCCAGTTATTTGGATCAACATGAGGTTAAGCAGAGTATGTAAGGCACCAACTTAAATTTTATTTTTCCTCTCAGTTTTATTAGCACTTGATATAGTGCATCGTTACCTGACATTTGTCTTCCAGTTTATCGTTTATTCTCAAAGGCTGACACTGTTGAGGGTTTCCTTAAATTGGAATAAATAATTGAGTATCTTCATTAAGCATTTGAACCTATTGCAATGCAGAATATGGAAGGAGCCAAGTTAATCCTTCTTGAGGAAGCAGTGGTGGCTCATCATTAAGAAATCCACCTGCCAAGGCAGGAGACACAGGAGATGCAGCTTCGATCCCTGGGTCGGGAAGATCCCCTGGAGGAGGGCATGGCAGCCCACTCCAGTATCCTTGCCTGGAGAACCCCATGGATTCTCCCATGGACAGAGGAACCTGGTAGACTGCAGTCCATAGGGTCACAAAGAGCTGGACCTGATGGAAGTGACTGAGCCCTCAAACATGCACACGAGGAGGAAGTGGGTTTTAGAACCCCACGTCCAGAAGGATGTAATTTGACCCCTCAGTCTATCTGCTTCATTGATGAGCAAAAACTTCTCTGTACTGAGTTTTGTTACACATACATGGCTGAGCATGTCTGTTTTGTCATTCCTTAAATCTAGAGGAAAATAATCAGCAATTGTGATATTCCTGTAAATATTACACATTACACAGCTTTTACCTTCTGATATCCTGAACCTTTCTTATTTTTTATTAGCTACTTTCTAAGTCTAGTTTTTCCTCATCTAGTTTTTTTCCTTAATCTTGCAAAATAATGCTGAAGATTTCACTTTGTTTTATTATACGATGATGGAGCAGAGGGTCTTCGGAGTCCTTTTGTGGAGAGGCAGAGAAAGGACAAGTGGAAATAAGATCTCCAGTGCCTCTCTCCATGATGTTGTGGTTCACGATCTTGCCTGTTACGTGGCTGACCACATACTGGTGCTGGTGAAGATGTTTAAGTTGTGATGCAGAGAACATGGCAGTCTCCATCCTTAGTACTTACACTCAACCCCCAAAATAAACAGATCAGGTTAAATGATACATAAATGAAAAAAGACACTCCTTGTAGTATATGAATACATATTCAGATATGTCTTAAGATAATGAGAGAGTTCTATTTTTCTCAAAGAGTTTTAAAAATCATCCAGATGCATTAATAGAACTCAGATTTTCTTGGCCTTAAATTTCTGTAGTTGGTTGTTTATAAATAGAAAACGTCATCTATGGCTTAAGTCACATATAGTACTAGGAAGTATTAACACTATTGTTTTTTCATTTAGCATATACGATAACAGGACGGAAAATATAAGTGAAGACAAAGTAGAAGATATTTGGATACCTCGAGAGGATAAAAGCAATCTTCCTATAGACTCTGCTTCAGAATCAGAATATTCAACAGTAGAAGAATGCTTTCAGAGTTTAAGAAGAAAAAATTCAAAGCCATCTAAATCAAGGACCCAAAAGGCAGTGAATTTGGACCCTGTTAATAGGCACAGTTATCCACTAAGTTCAACAAGTGGAAATGCTGACTCACCAGTTATTTCCTCAAATGTAATATCTCCCTATGCCTGTTTTTATGGATCATCTACAAGGAAGGTTAAATCCGGATGGCTTGACAAACTCTGTCCCCAAGGGTATGTGTTCTTTCTTTTTTTCCTTAAGTGGCTTATTTAAGAAAAAATTCAAGTGTATCCATTTCTAAACCTGCTAGGTTGCTGTAGCTCCTCCCCACCCCACCCATATGCATACAGAGACAGTTTTGAGAGACTTTTGATAGCATTTTTACAATGCTGTTTCTTTAGATAAATGAGGGGCATGTACACTGTATGGAATTCTGGGATAAAAGGTTCTGAAAGCAAATTAAAACTGAAAGTCCTGATTAAGCATCTAGATCCTTAATGTTAGTTTCTAACTTTGTACCAAAATGTGCTATCCTGTGTCTCAATTTGTAGCAAAGAAAAACAACACAGATTGAGTTAGTATTACTCGGCCCACACTGTTTGGCTTTCACTCATATTATAGCAGCGTTCTGTTTGGGAATACAAGGCTTATTGTAGTTAGGGAAAAGTAGGTCATTGTTAGATTTTAGGCTTCACTGTTATAGATATATTGTTTTGAGTTTTGAATGTTGCACAAAAATTCAGAGTCCCTTGAATATTACACTTTTAAAACAGATTTATCATTTCAGATGTTGACAAAGAAACTTCTGTCCTTAAGCATTTTATAGTACTGAGAAATCTTTGGAAAGGGATTATGTTTAATTAGAATTGTTTTCTGAATTTTGAGTGTCCTTTTGAAATATTTACTGGAAATGTTTCTCATGAATGAATAAATTATTTTGGGATTAAGAAGAGGTGGCAAAAATACACAGAAGAACTGTACAAAAAAGATCTTCATGACCCAGGTAATCACGATGGTGTGATTACTCACCTAGAGCCAGACATCCTGGAATCTGAAGTCAAGTGAGCCTTAGAAAGCATCACTACGAACAAAACTAGTGGAGGTGATGGAATTCCAGTTGAGCTATTTCAAATCCTGAAAGATAATGCTGTGAAAGTACTGCACTCAATATGCCAGCAAATCTGGAAAACTCAGCTGTGGCCACAGGACTGGAAAAGGTCAGTTTCATTCCAATCCCAAAGGAAGGCAATGCCAAAGAATGCTCAAACTACCACACAATTACACTCATCTCACATACTAGCAAAGTAATGCTCAAAATTCTCCAAGCCAGGCTTCAACAGTATGTGGACTGTGAACTTCCAGATGTTCAAGCTGGATTTAGTAAAGGCAGAGGAACCAGAGATCAAATTGCCAACATCTACTGGATCATCAAAAAAGCAAGAGAGTTCCAGAAAAACATCTACTTCTGCTTTATTGACTATGCCAAAGCCTTTGACTGTGTGGATCACAATAA